TCTTCTTCTTCTTCTTCTTCTTCTTCTTCTTCTTCTTCTTCTTCTTCGAGATAGGGTTTTACCTTGTAGCTCTGGCTATCCTGGAAGTCACTCTACAGACCAGGCTGGCCTGGAACTCACAGAGATCTGTCTGCCTCTGCCTCCCTAGTGCTGGGATTAAAGGCGTGCACCACCATGCGTTGCCAAAGATGGTACTTCTTTTTTTGAACAGCAAAAATATTTAATAGTAGAAAGAGTGATAGGAGTTATAGGAGTAAAAGAAGACTGTCTTCAGGAAACATTTTTTAAAAATTTCTTCTTGCTTAGATGTAAAAATTAATGTGCAAAAGGAAGTTGCTGGAGGTGTGGACGATGAGATGGTTCAGTGGTTAAAAGCAAGTGTACTACTCTTCCAGAGGATCCACATTCAATTCCCAGCAACCTTGTCAGGCTGCTCACAATCACTTGTAACTCCAGCTACAGTAGCATCCAACTCCTCTGTCCTCTGTGTGCACCTGTACTCATGTGCACATGCCCACACACACCACACATACACACACAAAAAAATAAATCTTGAAAAAGGAAATTATTGGGTAAATATAAAATTAAAAATTTATTAAATAATTAAATTTGAAGGATTTAGTAGAAAGGTTTATAACCTTACTCAAATTACATTATCAAAAATGAAGCCTTGGAGATTATCATAATTAGTAGTATTATCATAGTCACATCAATTTATCTTGTGTTGTTTTTTCTGTTTTCAGCTTCTCAGAATCAGGAACGGCTGTGCGCATTTAAAGATCCATACCAGCAAGACCTTGGGATAGGTGAGAGTCGAATCTCTCATGAAAATGGGACAATATTGTGCTCCAAAGGGAGCACATGTTATGGTCTGTGGGAGAAGTCAAAAGGGGACATCAATCTTGTGAAACAAGGCAAGTAATAGTTGTTTTTTTTAACATTCTTTTTTTTTTTTTCTTCAAGATTTATTTATTTATTTATTACTTATACAGCATTCTCCTGCATGTGTGCCTGTGCACCAGAACAGAAGAGGGCACCAGAGTTCACTATAGATGGTTATGAGCCACCATGTGGTTGCTGTCAATTGAACTCAGGACCTTTGGAAGAACAGCCAGTGTTTTTAACCTCTGAGTCATCTCTCCAGCCCCCTCCCCCCCCCCCCCTTTTTTTTTTTAGCTTGAAATTGCTTTGTGTTTCTTTCTTTTGGGTGCTGAGAATCAAACACAGAGCATCATGCACATCGACAAGCTCTCTGCCACAGGGCTTGAGTTCTCAGCATTGTTTTCATGCAATTGGAGTTTATCTAGGAAAGAGATGTAGGTAGATTAAAATCCTATCCAGAAAAATATTAAATAAGATAAACACATACATGTGTGTCTATATTCACCCACAAGCTCCAAATTTGTAAAAGAAATTTTACTTTTAGTGTAACTTGTTTGTATGATTGATTGACTGACTGAGTTAAGGCCATACTGTGTAGACCAGGCTGGCCTGGAACTCACAGAGATCTACATTCCTTTGCCTGCCATGTGCTGAGAGAGAGAGAGAGACTTAAAGGCATGATCCACAAAGCCTTGCCTTTTAGTATATTTTAATTACATCTTTCTCTTTACAAGTTAATATATGTGAAGGAAGTTTGGAGTGGGGGGGGGGGTGGACCAAAAACCAGAAGGCTATTCAGAAAAGCCACAATCTACATCTCAGTTCTCTTAAAAGAGTATTATTTTTATATTGATTTGTTTCCTTTAGATATATTTTCCATGTGCTTTAATGTTTACATTTGTACCAATCTTCTTTGAGAATTAGGATAATGGTATATCCATACTCTTTCCCCATGGTATTGTAAATAATTTCTGGAGACACTTGAACCTCAGCACCTGATTTTACTATGTATGTGTTCGTATTAAGTTTACTTGTATGCTTTGGATACTATGCTATTTAAAGTTTTCACTGACATACAGTGAAAAACTTTAAATACATGTAAAAGTTCTATCTGAATATTTATTTATTTTTCTTATTTTTTAAAGTAGATTCTCTAATGTAGAATTAATGGATCATAAAATGTATGATTATTTTAAAGACTTTTCATTAAATTGCTATATGTTTTTCCAGAATTACCATCATACATACATTTATTACAGAATCGTATGAGAGTTATGTTTACATATTATTATTTTTAAAAAAATAGGACAACTTAAATCTAAAATAGTGGTACTTTACTGTGTCTTTAATAATTCTTACAGTAATGGTTCAGTTAATCATAACTATGTTGTTGGTTGTTTTTTCCCCCATGAAATGTCATTTGAATCTGTTACCAGTTTTATTCAGGTTTTTTATGACTTACATATTATTTAGTTTTATATTACTGCAATTATTTCATAGTTTGTTGTTTTACTTAATTGTATGTAGTCAATTGTATGTAGTCTGTATTGTTTCCAGACTTACTTTAATATTGATTTGTAGGATGTTGGTCTCACATTGGTGATCCCCAAGAGTGTCACTATGAAGAATGCGTAGTAACTACCACCCCGCCCTCAATCCAGAATGGAACATACCGTTTCTGCTGCTGTAGTACAGATTTATGTAATGTCAACTTCACTGAGAATTTTCCACCTCCTGATACAACACCCCTTAGTAAGTATTTACAGTAACTTCTTTAATAATTCCTTGTTCTAGAAGTTTTCAAATTATAAAACAGATAAACATTGAAGGTTAATAGAAGTGAGAGGAAGAGTTCCAGCATTGTAAAATTTTATCGAAGATCTCCAGTGTGATTTTTCCAGCACAAGCAAAACATCAGTATATCACCTAAATCTGAATCAAGATACAGTTTTTCTTTTGTCCAGCATGGTAGTGTGTGCTTGTAATCCCCGAACTCCAGAGGCTGAGGCAGTAGGATTGCAAGTTCAAAGCCAACCTCAGCAACCTGTTAAGTACTTGGCCAATCTGAACTACATAACAAGAGCATGTCTGAACAAACACCCAAAACTGGGGGCTAGAGAGATGGCTCAGAGGTGTACTGAGTTCAATTCCCAGCAACCACATGATGGCTCATAACCATCTATAGTGGGATCTGGCGCCCTCTTTTGGTGCACAGGCACACATGCAGACAGAACGCTGTGTAAATAAATAATAAATAAAATTTAAAACAAACAAAAGCTGTCTTAAGGAAGGGAATTTGGTGATATTAAAAAAAATACAAACTGGGTGTGATGGCTGCATCCTGGCACTTGGTAGGTCAAACCAGGTAGATCTCTGTGAGTTTGAGGCCAACCTGGCTTACATAGCAAGTTCTAGGCCAGCCAGGGCTATACAGTGAGAGCCTGTCTGAAAAACAAAACAATAATAGAAAAAAAATATGAATTAAAAGGAAAAGAAAAGTATAGCTGTAGTTTGGCCTGTGCCTGTAGTCCCACTTATTCTGGAGGCCAAGAAAGGAGGGTCATTTGAGATCATGTGTTCAAGTTCAGTGTGGGAAATCAAGTAGCAGATGACAGTCACCATGGCAGCACATTGCCTTTAAGCCCAGCACTCAGAACCAGAGGCAGGTAGATCTATGTGAATTTTGAGTCTAGCTTTGTCTGCATAGCAAGTTCTAGGCCAGCCAGAACTCCATGGTGAAACCCTGTCTCAAATGAAAACTAAAATCCAAAATAAAACAAAAAGCCAACCAAACAAAATGAACATTAGCAACAGAATCCTTCATAGTGGATATACATGTAACTATTGAAAAGAGGGAGAAAATAAGACCGAGTAATTGAAACTTGCAATACATGTTATTGATGTAGACTTAGGACTTAAAAATATCCATACATGCATTACATGTATTATATGTAATTGTATGTAGTCATATATAATATATATGCATATAGTTAATGTATATAAAAATTTATTCATATGTATTGTGGTTTGAATGAGCCTGGCCCCATGGGCTTACATGTTTGTGTTTGGTTTCCAGTTGGTGGAACAATCTGGGAAGGATTAGGAGGTGTGGCTTTGTTGGAGGAGGTGTGTCAACGGGGGGGGGTGTTGAGGTTTCAAAATCTCACACCATTCCTAGTTAGCCTTCTCTCTTTGCCTCATGCTTGTGTCTGTATCAGATGTAAGCACTCAGCCTGTCTGTTTCCGTGCTCCCTACCATGATGGTCCCCAGTAAACTTTTCTTTTATAAGTTACCTTGGTCTGGTGTCTTTTCACAGCAATAGAAAAGTAACAAAGGCAGAAGTTGGTACTAGGGAGTGGCTTATTACTATGACAGGCCTGTCTGTGCTAATTTTTTGGAGAAATGTGTGAGACTTTGGATGAGGAGAATGGTTGAATGCTGTAAGTGTGGCCATAGTAGTAGGAACTTGGAAGACTGTGGTTCTGAGAGTAATATGGACTCTGGAGAACCAACTCAGCAGGTTTCAAAGGGCAACAATATAGCAACTAGGCTAGAGTCTGTTCTTGTGATATTTTGGCAAAGAATGTGGCTGCTTTTTGCTCTTGTCCTAAGAATCTATCTGAAGCTAAATTGAAGAGTTTGGGACTACTTTCATTGGCAAAGGAGATTTCAAGACAGCCTAATATTGACTCTGTTGTTTTATTAGTGATCACTCTTATTCATATCATTCATATTCGATGAAAATGAGTGAGCAGTGCAAAGAAGAACCAAATAGGAAAAGTCCTAAGAAATGATCTGTTCCTAAAGAAAAACAACAAATCAAAGCATATACAAATGCAGTTCAGGGAGGGACCCAGGTTCAGTCTCAAGCTGGCTGCAGAAGTAGGCAGCTGCTATCAAAGGTTCTAGGTTTAGAGTCATGAAGGATACCAGAAGTAAAGGGATTATAGAATCTTCTTCTGAGTTAAAGAAAGCCACTGAGGCCAGGCATATGGCATGTATGTCATTTCATAGAGTCTCAGAGAGGCCATGGAATGAAGCTGTGAAAGTGAAACCTGGATTGTATTTGTGAGGCCAGAGTTACATGTGAAGGAGAGATGCAAGCAAAATGGAACCAGCCCTAGAGAGAGAAATATGTTTACATTCAGCAAAGCTGTAAGACTGAGAGCCATGTAAGTCCTATGTGGCTAGAGCTGGGCATGGTAGCGCTCGCCTGTAATCCCAGTACTCAGGGAGGCGAAGGCAGGAGGATCTCTGTGAGTTCCAGGTCAACCTGGTCTACAAATTGAGTCCAGGACAGCCAAGGCTACACAGAGAAACCTTGTCTCGAAAAAAAAAAAAGAAAAAGCCTCCCCGCCCCCCAAAATGCCCAAACAAAATACAAAAAACAAAAAAAGATATGGAGTTATAGGATTTGGAGTCTGCCCTGCTCAGTTTGGGTCTTGCTTTTGTCCAGTACTTCCTCACTGTGCCCCCATTCCTTCCTTTTGGAATGATAATGCATAGTTAATGTCATTTTATATTGAAAGTATTTCATTTGCAGGGCTGGAGAGATGGCTCAGTGGTTAAGAGCATTGTCTACTCTTCCAAAGGACCCGGGTTCAATTCCCAGCACCCACATGGCAGCTCACAACTGTCTCTAATGCCCATTCCAAGGGATCTGACACTAAACGCACATAAACATTAAATAAATTATAAAAAAAGTATTTAATTTGCTATTTGATTTTACAAGGGGTTGCAATTAAGAAATTGCCTTGAATATCAGAACATACTTTGGACTTTCATTAAACAGTTTTGAGATAGAAGATTATGGGGACTTTTTAAGTTGAAGAAAGTACATTTTGCATTATTATTATGTGGCCATAATATGGTCAGGGAGGGGAATGTGGTGGTTTGAATGAGAATGGCTCTTACATTTGAATGGTTGGTTTTTAGTTGGTGTAACTGGGAAGGACTAAGAGATGAAGTGTTATTGGAGGAGGTGTGTCATGGGGTGGTCTGTACGATTCCAAAAGCCCACCCCTTCCCAGTTAGCTCTCCCTTGGCCCTGTGCTTGTGGATCAGATGGAAGCTCTCAGCTACTGCTCTCTCGTGCCATGCTTGCCTGCCTGCTGCCATGCTTCCCACCACAATGACCATGGACTAGCCATGTGAAACTGTAAGCAAGCCCCAATAAACTCTCTTTTATAAGTTGCCTTCCTTGGTCATGGAGTCTTTTCAAAGCAATAGAAAGTAACTAAGGCATATACATATTTCTCTATTTCTTCCTTTTTCTTTTTGCTTTGCAGTACTAGGTCAAACTCTGAACCTCAGGCTAAAGGAGAAAGCTCTCTACACTTAGGCTGTATTTCTTCATGAAAAAAGGAAAAAAAAAAAAAGCAGAAGTATTCCAGTAGCAATAAGCATGCATTATGCCTAGCTCTTAGTCTGTAATAGTGTTCTCTACTAAAAGAAATTATTGCTCCTTGAGAAAATACTTATTCTAGAATAAGAGCAAAATGAGGCCAGGCCTGACCTGAAATACTTTATGCTAGAAAATAGTCAGTACCCAAAAATGTGATGGAGACTCACCTTAAAGATGCAGAAGCCATGTCCCTTGCGGGCTGTAGCACTGAGTGAGCTAGCTGAGGCAGAGTTGGTGGGCTGACCAACTCAGCTGCCACCCAGGCCCAGATCCAGCGCTATGAGCTGGCCCACCCCAACATCTACCTCATCTGTGAACTGCTGCAGTGGGTGAGGGGCCTGGTCCTGAGGATCCAAAACTGCAGGATCTCCAGGGCACACGGTAGCAACAGGCTATTCAAGAGGAGCCCCAGTAAGGATCCAGATAGATAATGTAGCAAAAGCCAGAGGCCTAGAGTCAGTGACTCATTGTAATGAACATTTGCAAGTAAAGATATATGGACAAAAGTGAGACACACTGTGACACACTACAGCTTCTACAACAAGATTTTTTTTTTTCTTTTGGGGGAAGGTTGCAAAGGTGGAGGGTGGATGCAAAGGGAGAGGAGATGAGTGGATTGGGGTGTGTGGCGTGAAAGTCACAAAGACTAAAAAGCTGAAAGGGTTAAAAATAAAAAAACCCAGGAGCCAGTTTTGTAGAACCCGCTACCAGCCTAAACTGGGGCAGTTTGAGTGCACAAAAAACTAAGTATAATAATGAACTGTAAACCATTTGAAGGAAATGAAACTCGTGAGTAATATGTCAAGTGCTAACTGATAAATACAGGAGTGTTGGAATTGGCCAGTGATCATTCAACTTCTATCACACAGGACAGGAAGGAGCTATTAAAGAGGATCATAAATCTGAGAGCAGTTTCAATGAGGAGACCGGACATTTGTGTGGTTTTAAAGTGTCTCCAACTTAATTGTGAAGGGAAAATTAGTAATTAGGATTTGGGACATAGCTTAATGGTGTAGATTACTTGCCTATTGTGTTATAATAAGAAAGAAGAGAGGGAGGAAGAAAGTAGAGGAGGGGGAGGGGAGAGAGAGGGAGAGACAATCAATTCAGGGTGGATACCATAGTCACTATTCTGTTGCAACTCTTACTTTAAAAGAAAGCTTTTAATTGGGGCTTGCTTACAGTATCATCATGGCAGTTAGCAATGCACATACATGGCATTGGGGCAGTAGCTGAGAGCTATATCCTGATCATCCTGAGTGGCAAGCATCAGGAGAGCCAGACTGGGAATGGTGTGGGCTTTTGAAACCTCAACCCCATGCCCTCCAACAAGGCCACACCTGTATG